GGAAGCAACGAAGGTGGAGGGGGGAGTACCCTGGCATGCGGCGGTGCTGCAGGGAGCTGAGAGGTTCATGACCTCCTGGCACGAGAAGGAAGAAGAGGCCAGCCGACAACGGGCGCTCAAACAAATCCACGAGCCACCAACCAATGGGGCGGGAGGGAGGCAAGAGACGGACGAGACGGCGAGGGAAGAAAGCAGACGAGAAGAGACAGACCGAGTGGCGCGATATGTGCCGGATTGAGTTTCTTTTGGCCAATTTCCCCCCCCAACGCTGCACCATTGCACCAACCCCCCACTAGTGATGCCGTACCATTCCAATGTGTCGCTGGTCGGTGGCCATGTTTGCGTGTTCGCTTGTTCGTTAGTGGTCTCTCCACCGTGTGTCTTTTTCTGTCTCATGTTTCTTGATATTTTCGGCCTGGTCCCTTTTTGTCCTCGCTCTTTTTCATTTCATTTTCTTTTTCCCTACTGTTCCCTTCTATTTTTATTGTTCTCTCTTCTTTCTCTCTTATTTTCTCTCTTTTTCTGTGCCAGATGGCCTTGTCTCTGCTTGCGTTGTGCGTTGAAGCACCAAGATTTAACCAAGGGGGGGTACCTCTTTCTCTCCGGCCGTGATGGTGACTCCTAGTCTCAGTTGTTACACCTCGCATAGCGCGCAGAGAGAGTGGAGGACTCCAGAATATCTGTCGTTGATTTCTATTGATTTGCGGACCCCTCGGGGCTAGTTTATTTGAGTGTACTTTTTTAGGGTAAGTTAACCTGTGTCCACGGGAATCGACCGCGTCGAGTGTTGGATCAGTACGGACATACGAAGGTACTGGGTAGAGAGAGATCGGAACGGTTTATAATGTGAAGACAACAACAACAACAACAACAACAACAACAACAACAACAACAGCTGAACATGAAGCAAGATGCAGACAGGACGGAACGAAAAGTTCGCGCTTGAGCAGGTCCACCGCTGAACGATGAAAAGCTGAACCACAAGCTAATATCAACACAGCGAAATTTCTATCCTCGAGCAACATGAGCTACCAAGTACAAAGGAAGAGAAGTGCGGCAGTCGTACGTTCTTCCCGACTTTCGCCGTAATAAAATTGATCGAACTTGGCTCTCGTGGTACCCTCAAAAACTCTCATGAAGAATCGCTTTGAACAAGACAAGGTACGCGGTGCAAATGAGACCAAGCCAGCGCTCGACTGCCCTGATCCTATCGCAGAGCCCAAGCTAAACGGCATCGAGGACTCCTCCTCTCGGCACTTGTGTCTCGTGCTGCCGTCCCATCTATCCTGGCGCACTTCTTGGGAGTCAAAATGATGCTGTTGGAGTCTAGCGGTCGGGCTCTACCTCCAACGACGTCCACGTGATCAACCTCTTCGCACCTTCACGGCAAACTCGGACTTGAGCGAGGACACGCACCCCAGGAATGGACATACGAGCCACGGAAATTCGGTCTTAGCGGCAAACCTTCCTCTTGCCGCCCTTTCGGCCCTGTGCCGATCTCGGTACAGTGCCATCCAATCTCGCTCTAGCAGAGGCTGCTGCTGCCCGCTGGTATTCTGTTGGTCCAAAATGGGGTTTGCGAAATTGTGCCATAACCAACTGAGTTGAGTATCGAGGAGCGCAAAACTATACAAGCCATGGTTTGACACATTGTGCGCTTAGCGAAAATAAGCACAATCGCAAGCAGCGAGAATCCATTGAGACATCTGTCCGGTGGTGCGCTACCGTGCCGTAAGCCCAATATTGGGTGTTCCGCAGGGGCTGAAAAAACGCCCAGCCGGTAATGACAAATACGGAGTGTCGTTTTGATAATGCTCGACGATAGCCGACAACAAGTGGCGACCATTCGTAGTCAAAGCGACAGCAACAATAGAATGGTATCAAAACGGCACAGCAGATCACGATCATCACTACGGGCATAAAACCCGTCTTAGAACATACCTCAGGGGTTCGCCAGTGAACAACGCCGATCTTCCCGTGCCTTCTCCTACGCTTCGCTTTCTTCCTCGCCGAGCCCAAACCTTCGGCCAAGAGCCTGTCCGACACTCCCGCCAGATCCAGGTCGCTTCCAATCGCCGATAAGGGCCAGCGTGCCTCGAAGAAGGGCCTCCACACACCGGACACCATGAGCAGCTCTCTCCAAGCGCGATCAACGCAAGCGAGACGGCAGACTCGCTTCGGCGTCATGAAGGATAATACGCGCATAGTCACCTCGTCCGGCACGCGGCCCCAGCCGTTTCCCGCGATTGCTCCGGCGCCGTCTACGTCTCCATCAGCCGAGTCGTCGTCGTCGTCGCTGCTGTCGGTGTTGTCCGATGAATCCCCTCCGCCGTCCCCCCTCCGGCTTCGGCCTGAGCGGCTTGTCGAGGGAAGCTGCGTGTCGACCCCCGCGGCTGCGAGGGACCAAGTACTTCGAAAGGCGAGACTCGCCCGCCGAAAATCGATGCCACTCGCAAAAGAAGCGCCTTCTTCGGTAACGGTGGCGGCGACTGGTCCTAGCTTTGACTTTGTGCGGCGGCCCGCAGCGTTCGGTTCTCCTCGACGCGAACCTCTTGGCGGTCTTAGGAGCTCGTCCGATCGGGCGAGCTGAATATGGCCCGCCTCTTTGAGCACGTCGATGGCTGCCTCCGCCAGGGGGCGGGGCACGCACGACAACGGGCGGGCGTCGCTGTCGAAAACGATCTCGAGCAAATTGCCCGCGGTTTCAGGCACGGTAGAGCTGCATAAACCGCCCCGCTTCGGCCGCGTCAGCAGCAAGGCGAGAGCGTGCGAGAGAGACGCCAGAACATCCGCAAAGTTCGAGCTTTGTCGCCGTTCGGCTGCCGCGGTCGTTTCATGCGCGCCTTCTTCCGGCATGTCCAGCATGCGGAGCACAGTAAGAGCTTGCCGAGCCAGCCACGCCAAATGCGTGGCAGCCAAGGGGTCGCTCACATGTCGGCACAGGCAGAGGTGGCCCACGTAGGCGTCCAGCATAGGTGACTCCGCTTGCCGTCCTGCCACCGCCCCGCCCGTGGCCGTACAAGTATCGGCATGTCGCCTTCCTCTACACGTGCCCGATGGGGGCCGCCACCGACCCCGAGCGAGAAACCGCCGCAGCTCGGCCCCGCACCGTTCCCGAAGAAAACCGGCAATCTGAGCACCGCCGTCCCCCGCGAGCCCACCAACGAAAGACAGCAGCAGCCGACACCCGGGCGGAAACGACGGAGGAGACGCCTGTCTCATGGACAGTTCCGCGGCGACGAGCGCCTGCCGAACGCCGTGACACACGGCCCGATTCACCGACGCCTGGAGCAGCCGAGAACACTGCCTGAAATGAACATCCACCGCCCATCGCAGCATGCTCTCCAGCACCACATCCCTCTTCTCTTGCGCGCTGCAGCATTGTGGTCGCGCCCCCTCCGTCTCCGAGGCATCGGTACCCGCTGGGTTGTCCGAGAGAGCAGCGGAGCACGAAAGGCATCTCGAGCGTCGTCGCGTGCCTTGCGCCTCCTCGCCTTCCGCCTCCAGTGCCAGCGAGTCGTCTTCAGGTGTGGGAAAAATCCAAGGAAATGCGTGAGGCGATGTCGCGAATGCCTCATAAGAGTAAGGTGGACGACATATCGTGCCATGTGTGGGCATCGTACTGTTTGGGCAGCGTAACGTTTGGGCAGCGCAATCCTTGGGCAGCAAGTCTCCCGAGGGGACTGTACGGCAGCAACATCTACATGGCTGCCTGACACCGAGAGGACACTAGATGCCCTCGGCCAAAGAGCAACATGCGAGAGCGGGTGCATTCCCTTCGATGACAAAATACAGCTATCACAACGCTCAAGTATCCGAAACTGGATTGCCCTTCACACTGAAACTACTCACGTCATCGCTCAGAAGTAGCAGTACTCGACCATAACGCGACAAACGTGAGCCGATGGGTCTTGACTTGAAAGTATCTCCGCGGCACCTCTCACGCGTGATATGAGTCAGCACAAGTGTCTCCATCTAACCTAGGGAAGGCTGCCGTACACTTACCGAGGGTGTCGCACCCATCGCCGGCCACAAATCGCACCAGCACTGACACCACCGCCTGGCACAAAGACCGAGGGGATGATGACACCAACGACAGGACTCCACTGACAAACATGCGTGTGCTGCCGGAAGCCCAAGCCGCGGCACCAGGAGAGGGCCGTCGGAGGCAGTCTTCGACTGACGTCTCCAGGGTCAAGGTAGGCATGGCAGGACAAGCATCGAGAGCGTCTTGTAGGGCAGACACAAGCGCCAAAAATGGTCCGTTTGGCTGACGATGCCGGTATGTATTGTAGTCGGTTGCAGCGACAAGAGGCACGGGAAAAGAGCACGTGTGAGGGAGGCACGTTCAGGGATGAAAAAAAGGTTACAGCTGCATGACGTGCTCCAATAATTGGGAGACATATATAGTCATTCGCGACTTGGGCAAGAAAACCAGCAGGGACTCTACGTTAATGTGCAGCTTGGCCCCACACAAGGCACAAAACTGATGACGCAAATACAACTCGCCTCCTTGACGGGACGGACGACGGCCAGGCGATGGAGAAGGACATGGACAATCACCGGGGTGCACACAGGTAGCCCTGACTGAACCTGCTCCAACAGGCAGGCAAAGTAAGCGACAACAGCAGTGATGCATTCAAGCGCGTGGCCGACAGACTTGGTACTATCTCCCCCCGTCACACCTTGGAGAGGGCGGTAAAACATGCACGACAGAGGGATCTATCTACGCAGTCGAAGTCTACCCGTACGCAAGCAGAGATACATGAATTCCATCCGGCCAGAGGACCCATAAATGAACATTGTAGCTCTGCCTTGGATGTACATCTAGAAGTAAGGTGAGCATTGTGCCGTACGCTTGGTAAACCTCAACCCCATGTCGCCATCAAACGGGTTAGATTATATTGGGCGAGTCCACCCTGTTTCGAGCTCACCTGGAGGAGCGCCTGTATGACTTCCGGCATCAACCCGCATCCGAAAGCGTCCGGTGACGACCTGCGTGTTTGAATGAAAACGTATGATTGTCGCGATGGACGCGTGGTGGCGGTTGTCCCGCATTCGGTATCTATGTAATACAGCAGCAGCAGGGGCAGCAGAAGCAGCAGGGTGGCGGTGGTGGTAGTAAACCCAAGCAGGTGAACTTTATCTTGTGTACAACTAGCGTGTATACTTTCGACCCGAAGGCACCACAGCAGTGCTACCTTCAGGGCGAAGCACCGCCAATCACTGACTCGTGTGCATCTCCTCCTTCCCCACTGGACTCTACTCTTACAACCATAGTCCAAGTCGACTTCTCCAGGATCAACGCATGTTTGCGCTTGTCAGCATCGGCGATTGCCAGCATAGGAGACAACATACTCAGAGATCTGTCAACAGAAAACGCACCAGTCGCAACAGCTGTGACCCAACACCGTCGCAAAAGGCCCCTCGAAGCTGAAGTGAATCCAGTCCCTATCCTCTCGTGTGCTGACCTCGCAGCTACGCAGTAATCCCTGTCGAATCAGCACCACCAGATGATGCCGCACGCGATGCGAACGCCGTCGTTTGTTTCGTGTAGAACTTACAGGTAGTCTAGGTAGCGTTGAGTTGTGCAGCAGCACCTCTGAGTGAAAGATGAAATTGTTTTCGACAACAAACGTTGTGGGGAACGAGTTCGCGTGGTTAGCAAGAATAGCACCCATCTGCACGCGTTCGAGAGCCAAACCCAACAACGGTAAGATATGCCTCACATGCGTCCGGCGAGCGACGCCGAACACACCTTCAAAAAGTCGACAAGCTCATGTCTCCAGTGCAGGAAAGCTGGGTGGTTGTCCTCGGCTTCTCCATGAACGTACATGCGTCGGAACGCTTGCAGAATTTTCGACAGCTCGCCTAGCCGTTCCCATCCCTTGTTTTTCTCCATAGCGTGCACGAGACCTGCGCATCTCCTGGTGAAGCGTTGGTGGTGCTCTACAGCCGCCGCTGGAGGGTATGCGGCGTAATTAAAGAACGCCCCCCCAACCGTGCATCCACGGAGCCACCGGAACCCTTTCATACCCGACCGGCAAGGATCACACCGCGATCCAATGCAATCGGATTCTAAGGCGGCTAGGTCTCCCCTTGGTCAGTGGCAGTGAAGGTGCTAGTTACGTCTCTTCTTCACAAGGAGCCGAGCGTGTCTACTGGTAGCCGGCGTTTGTTGCTGTGCACGTGGATAAAGACAGGGACGTACATACGAATCATATACAATATTTTGCCGTCTGCAGCAGCAACTGTCGTGGTCCGAGGTACGAGGTGGAGCTTTTAGAGCTATGGTCGCTTGCCAACATCGCTACGGTTGTCCGTCATAAGCGAAGCGGCAAACGGATTCGGGGCCATCCACTTACATAGGGTGGAACGGAGCGAAGCTTCCATCCATGTTTTCGTCCGTGTTCGACAAGGTTGTGTCAACGACTGCACCTGACACCTTGGGCACCTTCCCACCTCGCGGCGATCTCCCGGCGTCACCGTCAACGCTATGCTGTCTGAGCTTCGCAGATCGGTTCATATCGCACTACCCCGTAGCTCGAAGCGCAACGGTCGATGACGTCGTCGATGGTAGTATACTCCTGGGCCGTACTGGGACTACCACCGGGATTGCGATATCTGCCGGTGATGTCGAAACCATCATGGTGAGTGCCGCTGAGCTCGGGGGACGGCTTGCTGCAGCTCTTGCCGGGACTGTTAGATCTAAACGAAGAGAACGCGCAACAGCTCCTGTCTCCGACCTCCTGGCCAAGGTTCGGGGGATCTTCGGAAACCGCTTAACCTGCATCGGACGGGAGATCCGAGTGTCGCGAAAAGTCGAGGCGGAAAAAGACGAGACTCTCTTGCTGCGACAGATACACGCCCTCAAGAACGCCGCTCTAGAGTCTTGCAACGGCGAGAAGTGGTGTTTTCTCGTCAGTTCTGGTGGGGAGAGCTTAGTGGTGTGCTCTGTTCCTCTGCCAGCGGTGGAGGAGGGAGGGTCGTGCGGGTGCGACTTCCTCGTATTCGACCCGTGGCCACGACCTGCAATGAAGCTGCGCGGGTCGTACATCGTGAAATTCACTACTGTCAGGTAACTGTTCCCGCAAAATGGGGACGTGTGATGACCACTCACCCTGCAGGGTGTCTGTAGATCTTCACCCTTTTTGATCTGAACATGCCCTCGATCTCTGCACTGCGGCAACACGAGCGGCACTCTTCGCAAGTTGGGTGCTATTGTTGTTTTGTCTTCACGAGAAATGCCCTTCGTCTATCAAGTACCTGCCCTGCAGAGGCAAAGACGCGACGTTCCGTGGTCCAACAACGAGGTGCGAAACGCAAGTAAAAGCAATGCACGAGGACATACCATTACTAGGACAGAAATGAAATATACTGTGCTGGCAGAAAGTACAAGGAAGTACATTGAACCCGTGCCCTCCTCATTTGGAAATTGAGGGCCACAAACACCGCATGTCTCTCGACTCCGTACGGCAGGAGTACCACTTACAAGAGAATCGCACAAAACCGGAGAGTTTTACTGGCAGTTTATTGTTTTCACCGACCGGGTACCCTAGTCTGCGTGCTGCAGGTGCGAGAGCTGCATACACGACTATGAAGGAAGCCGGTCAACTACCACTTCTACTTCATACAACAAAGCAAAGTACGCACATCATGCAAGACGGATAGAACACTCTCATGTAGGCAGATAGTGTCCCCGCCTCGCGCCATTCAACGGCAAGCCGATATCCGAGCCACCCCATACCCTTTCTGTGTCCATCTCTTCTGTTGAACTTTTCCATACGAGAATAGGGGTCTCCAGCTGCATATCCTGTCGGCGCTGGGGGAAATATGGAGAAGCAGCGGCCTGTCGCAGGAGGATGGCGTGTTGAAGAAGGAATTTGTCGGTCTATCGGTGGTGATGAGAGCGAAAGGGGGGGGGGCAGGACAACACGAGGCGGACGTGGCTGCGAGGCGCATGCTGGAAGACAGCGGTAGGTTTAGCTTGGATACACAGCAGTTGTGGCCATATGAATTATGATCTATTGAATGAGAGTGCAAGGGTGTAGTCGATGGGACACATGTCACCTTCGAGGTACTCCGCTGCGCTCCAGGTATGCCGTTACAAGAGCATTTGGCACGTGCAGGTATGCTAGACCACTCAAACAGTGAAATTCATCGGCATGGTCATGCAGAAAGGTGTGATACCTACATTACTTAACGAGCTGCAAGACCGGTGTTCTGGTGTTGCAGTCCTCTCTAGTATCCCCGCTGATCCATCAACGCCAAACCTGTCGCGCCTTGCTGTTAACGACAACCTGAACGTTCCTCCTCGCATCGGCAGTCACGGCTTTGCGGAAGGTCGAGAAAGCCGCGGCCATCAAAATAAAGCGGCAAGAGGTAGAGGCTCTCCGAAAGGCGCTACAAAAAACTTCGCAACAACAGAACCTGGGTCCCTCCGCGCCTAGATCGATTGGCATGTTTGGGTCGACCGATGGGCCACGTGGGCTTGAGAAGGTAGTCAAGGGAAACAATCCGTCCACGGGGGGAGGATTGTTCCAACGAAGCGGGCACAGCTACCGTCATCTGGAGCAACCTGACGAAATCTCGGAGCGATCCAACCTTCTTGCCGAAAC